GAGTGATTGAAGTGCATCATCAGTATTGCGTGAAGGAGCTTACATCATCTCTAGAGCTGTACCTAATCGGGTCTGCCAAAAGGTGCCAGGGAACTCCCCTTTTTACCAGACCTTAACAAAACTCAATTACACCCTGATCATCATTAGAAGTATGCAAATCATCACTATCCTGATATTATAAATAAGTAGCCAAAGTCAGACTGTAACTCACTCAAAACGAGAAGGACCAAAGGAAATTAGTGTAATAACCAGATAAATAATCAGAGTAGTTGGCTTCTAAAGCAAGTTCCATTTCCGTCCTCCTAAGTTTAGTTATTGTTGATTTCCCTCTTTTTGTGCATATGAGTGTTTCCCACTTGAAAAAAAATCAAGACTTACTTCAAATTTGATAATTTTGGAAGAAATTTATAACAACATTGAGTAACATATCTTTGGCCAGTTTTCCCTGGAACTGGCAGGCTCTTAGTATTTTTGAAGATCTGGCTGATATGTTTTCAAAATGGAAACACAATTATTTACAAGATGTTGCCTCCATTTTTGCTGTGGGCAGAGCAATTTTGAAAACCTGGTCCCTTAACAGGGAAATGACCAACATGAGCAACATGAAATAATGTCATCAAGAATAGTAAAGCAAACCATAAGGTACCATATGAAAAGCCAAGTATTGGACTATGCAGAATGTCCATATTATTGTCATTTAAAATCTTCACAGCTACAACAAAAAATCAGCACAAACTCATATTTTGCAAAGTGACTCGCTTTTATATTCCAACAGTATATTTTTGTTTACTGGGCTTATTTTGGACAGGAAGGTATTAACTAAAATGAAGCAAGCCAATTGTACAGGGTTTCTTTTAAAATCTTATATTCCGCTATGTCATTTTATATTATCTTAAGTAAAAGTGGGGGAAAAATCCTGAACTGATTTCTTTGGCACATAAGCCTCATAAACAGCAGTAAAACCAGATAATTTTTTTAAAAGCACATTGTCCTTCCTTGCTATGGTTGTAAAGCACAGAGACATTCAGCTGGATGTTTAAGAAAGGGAGGGGAGGTCTCCAGCTCCTCATGTTTCACCTTTTCATTGCTCTGCCTGATCATTTAAGGTAGAGGCTTGTTCCAGACAGCTTTAATTAAACTATGCTGTGAAACTGTATATAGATCAATGGAAATGATCCATAACAAGAGGCTAATCATGTCTTTAACAGCGTTCAGTCCAGTTCAATCACCTTCTACCATTTCTGTGGCTTTACATTCATGTGGCAAAGCCTTGAATGTGTGTATGTATTTTTTAATCCATCTCATTAGTGACCATATGCTTTGGCTTCAAGGGAGACAAGAACTGTCTGCAATCTGCCAGGGATTTAGGGACATCAATAATTTGTGAATAGTCATGTTGGTACTGGTCGAAGGGTTAAGTGTTCTGCACACCAGGGGCACATCTTTTGGGACTGGAACTCTTAGTCAACTGTTAGGAACCTGATCCCCTGTGAGGCATCTTTTCAAAGTACATGCTGCATGTCAGATCTCCGCAGCTGAAGCAATGGAGCTTTATTAGCTCAGGGATTTAAAAACCTGCTCTAAGCAATGTAACAATATCTTTTGGTTAAAAAGTGAAGGAAAGATAGTAGTTGTAATATGAAAGTGATTTTTTATGTACTGGCTAAATGTGATCTTCCTTTTTGCTACCATTTTCCTTTTCAATATGAGCTATCAGATTACTCCTCCCCTGCAAATATCCAGTGAAGCAAGAGTATGGCAGCAATCATGGGGACCTGATTTTGGAAACCTAAGTGGATTCTGTGGCCTCACCTCATACTGCCTAAATCCTGCTGA